ACTGTTGACGATAACCGAGCGGCTATCCATTAAGTGATATAAATTATAATAAATTGTTTTGTTTGTGTTAATAAAAAATCAAAACATGCCTTTCCCAAGGGGTAAACAACAAAAACATCGAATTCGAATGGTCTTATTCCTCAACCGGACTATCCATTACCCAAATGCTCCTTTTAAAATAAATTAAAAAAAATAAATCAAGAAAAGAAAAGTAAAATGATCATGGAAACGGAAATCGAACTTCTCTGATTCCAAAATCCATTACTCCACTGTACATCCTTTTTATTAGAATATAATAAATTGTTTTTGTTTGTGTTAAAAATTGACTATCCCGTCGAGTAAGTCGAATGTAATAGAGGGTTCGAACTCGATCAGATTCCTCAATCCGAGCCACTAAACATTACTCCACAGACCTCCTTTTAGTTTGTGTTAATAAAAAATCAGCACATGAGATTTGATTATAGTGGTGAAGTCTTCGTCCAGGACCATCCACATTATTTTGAAGGACGAATACAGACCTGGTGCACTGAATTCCAACTCAGCCTCTGATTCCTCAATCGAGCGGCCTCCATTACTCCACAGTGCCTCCTTTTTATTATAAATTATAATAAATTATTTTGTTTGTGTTAATTCAGAGTTGTCCTTCTCCTAGACGAACTCGCTGATTCCTCAATCCAAGGCTATATCCATTACCCATCCTCCTTTTTATTATAAATTATAATAAATTGTTTTTTGTGTATTTCAGGAGAGAAGAAGAGGATTCATACCCAATGGTAGCACGTAGTGAATGAATGGGAAGACTCAGCTCTCTGATTCCTCAATCCGGAGCGCCTATCCATTACTCCACTGTGCCTTTTTTATTAGAAATTATAATAAATTGTTTTGTTTGTGTTATAAATCATTCATGCCTTTTCCACGTAATTCCTCAATCCGGAGCCACTATCCATTATCCACAGTGCCTATTATAAATTATAATAAATTATTTTGTTTGTGTTAATAAATAAATCAGGATTCGACTAGAATTTTCCCAACTAAGTGAATGTAATGGATTCGACTGAATTCGAACTCGCTCTCTGATTCCTCAATCCGAGCGGCTATCCATTACTCCACAGTGCCTCCTTTTTATTATAAATTATAATAAATTGTTTTGTTTGTGTTAATAAATAAATCAGGAGAGAAGAAGAGGATTCATACCTTTCCCAAGGGTATTAGCACGTAAGTGAATGTAATAGATTTGACTGGAATTCGAACTCGGCTCTCTGATTCCTCAATCCGAGCGGCTATCCATTACTCCACAGTGCCTCCTTTTTATTATAAATTATAATAAATTGTTTTGTTTGTGTTAATAAATAAATCAGGAGAGAAGAAGAGGATTCATTCCTTTCCCAAGGGTATTAGCATCGTAAGAGAATGTAATGGATTCGACTTTCGAACTCGGCTCTCTGATTCCTCAATCCGAGCGGCTATCCATTACTCCACAGTGAATGTAATGGATTCGAAATAAATCAGGAATTCGAACTCCTTCTCTGCGATTCCTCAATCTCAAGCCGCTATCCATTACTCCACCGTGCCTCCATATATATATATATTTTGTTTGTGTTAATCCTTTTAATCTCACGGTTAACCTTCCGTGTATTGATGAGGGAAATGTGTTATAGCTGTTTAAATTTCTTTTATTTTCATTTCCCCAAGTACTTTCGATCTTCTTCCAAGATCATCTTCAGGGGTGCAAGTAGTACAAAACGATATGTTGTTCATTAGTACAAGTATATATATTCATCGCATCAGACCGACTACATTTTCTGAAATGGGATCAGTATATCCAGAGTGATATATACAGGAATAAAAAGGAAAGAAATAAAAAATACGGGATGAAACAATAAAAAAATATATTGACCCAGAAAAGCTTTCTTAAGGGGATTATATTAAGAAAAAAGTTAACATATAATTTGCTCTGTATCATACATTGACCTTTTTAATTGGACTAAACGTCTTCTTTTGGATTATCTCTGCAAATTACAATTTAGTATTATACATATATATGAAGAAAAATATACGGAGAAAACAAACAAAAATCCTAATATGCAATTATGCTGTTTTAATGTTAATATAACGTCAACGTCGGACGTTTCGGTCTAATAGACCATCTTCAGGACATATTCATAAAACATAATTAACATGGACCATATTCAATTCAACATGAAAAAGACGATGGACGATCTCACGCACGGTGAACACTAGACCTGGCTTCTTTAATATTTCCCCTTTTCTAGCAAGATTAATGCTCGACAAACGTACATATAAGTCTTAGATCAAAATAAAATTCTTTTCGTTTTTCATTCAAAATACTCAAATTTTAGGAATACGTTTTCCCAACGTCGCCCACGTGACGACGACGTGATCATATTTAAACGGAACGCTGATCTTATAAAAGATTTCAGTTATTTGTTTGGATTGGTCTTGCTCTTATGTCCATCGTCTTTTTCATGTTGAATTGAATATGGTCTATGTTAATTATGTTTTATGAATATGTCCTGAAGATGGTCTATTGGACCGAAACGTCCTACGTTGACATTATATTAACATTAAAACAGCATACTTGTATATTACTACTATGTATTTCCCAACTGAGCAATGGTGCGAGGAAAAAGATCATTCAGGTTTTCAATAATGCTACCAAAATTCATAATCTTGCTTCCATCATCAAATTCAAACCAAGAATCATCAAGAGAACGGTCAATATGTTTAAAAAGGGAAGCGTAGAAAGAAAAACCGGATCAGGATGCCACAACAGGAAGAGGGATCCTCATTTCAATTTAGAGCTGAAGAGATCAAGTAGAAAAGATCCAACTCAATCCATATGACGTTTGGTACGTGAGGGAGGAGTTTCAGCTATGACAGTCTAAAAACAGTGAAAAAAGTTATGAAAATGAAATCGTACGTGAAACGTTTGAGACACCGTGTTATTTTAGAACAGAAAGTTAGAAAGTTAGAGAGTCCGAAGATCATCATGAATAAGATGGAAAATGATCCTGGAATAATATATATATATATGTGTGTGTGTGTGTGTGTTTGAACTTCATTTCAATCCCTCATGAGCTTCCGATCCTTAGCTATGATTAATTAATGACAAACATATCATTTTCGTCTATTTTCGATTTCATCACGATACTTATGTTAAGCTCAGAGAGCAATTATACATTTTATTGCTCAAAGTAGAGTT